GCAACACCCCCCAGGGTGCGCCTGTCTGCCCTGGCCCTTTAGGTTACCCAGTGGGCCTCTCAGGCCCCTCCAGCCTGCCACCTCAGTGCCTTGCAGAGGCACACGGGCACCAGAGCCATTGCTCTGCCCAAGGTCGCCTTCAGGCCGAAGGGCAAATGGATGAGGGCAGGGGGTGCTTTTGGAGTCCCAAGACCATGGCCATTTTCTGCACAGCCTGTTGCCTCCCATGCTGATAGTCTGGCCTCCTGAAAGTTGCCATGACCTGGACCTGGCACCCAGCCCAGCAGTGGCTGGTCGGGAAGAGTGCCAGAAACAGAGCTCAGCGGGGCCGGCAAAGGGCATGTGCATGCTTAGGCTCACATGCAGGTGCACACGCGCTCACACATATGTGCACACGTGTTCATGCACACAGATGGCATCTTCAGAAAGCAAGTTCACCCTGTACCTTGCATTTGGCCTTTGCTCACCAGGGCCCTCTCGTTCTGCCAAAGGCCCTTTGTGTGGCCTTCTAGAAGCAGTGGGAGGATGGGTCTGAAATCTCTGAACTACCGACACCATTTTCCCTTGGATACCCCCAACAGGTGCTAGGGATGTGGCTTAAGAGACCACTACAGTTTGGACTCGGACCATAAGGTTCATCAAACGCATCTATGAAATGGCCCATAGATGCCTTCAGTCTCTCTGGACTGTTTTGTCTTTGCCTGACAGAGGGGCTCAGGTTTGCCCGGGGACATCTTTTCTAGAACGAGCTCACAACTCTCTCACGCCCTCTGATTCCCTCTGTGGCCCTGGGCAGTGATTTTGTTGTCCTGTTTTATAGCTGAACAAACTCAGTCTGGCTCCTACTCAAGGGACCTTCCCTTGCCCATCCTGACCAGGGGTGGCTGGGCTGCCGGGGGGCCACCTGAGGAGCTTAGATGCCACAATGTTCTTGGCTGGACTTTCTTGGTAAGTCAGAAGCTTGGAGAAAGGAGGCCACTGGGCTAGTAAACTAGGTGGGGCTCTGTACTCTCCCTTAACCCCGCCACATTCACACACCCCAGCTCTGCAGCAGCTGGGCCAAGCATCATGAGCGCTCCCTCAGTGGGGACTGTGCCCAGCGGTCGGTGAGGGCATCTCCTGGGGTGCTCTTTGCACCTTGGAGCCTGTGTGCGTAGAGATGAGGTGGTGCCGTCCCCACGTGGCACTGACCGGGCACTCTACTGTGCATCCACTCAGTCCCCACCCTGAGTTGAGGCAGTTACTATTATTAGCTCCATTTTGCAGGTGGGAAAACT